TCCACAGTTAATTCAACAGGATGTGTGCTCTTGGAGTGCAGTTTTCCCTACGCTGATGTGGGGAGTGCCTCTTTGTTTTTCTCCTTGAATCCACAAACTGATTTATCTAGTCATCTCAAAACCACCAGTCTCCTGAGTTCTGAGCAGCTGCTTTTGTTGATGAGTTAATTTTCTACAGTCTTTGCTGAAGTGTTAGAAATCTGTCCACTTGAAGATAAACTTATATTTTGTAACAGTTTGGCTGAAACCCACTATAATGTTGACTGCAAGTTTTGATGGAATGCCTGTTTGTAAATTTCTGTGATTCTCTTTAGCCTGATATCAAATAACTGACGTGCTATCCATGGTAACATCATAGTTGAGGGAAGGGAACCTGCAATTCTGTAAGAGGTTAATCTAAGGCTGTCAGTACCAATGTCTTTGAGCTCAGGTTTAGGGTTCTTACTAATTTAGTATTTCCACAATATATCCTGTGGATTTCCGCTGAGATTTATGTCAGGGTCTTGGTGATTAATATATGTAATTGGGGAAATGCTAGTTTGTAGTGCTACTTTCAGGAGGTCTTCAGGCTGTTAATGCACTGTGTTATTGCCAAATGTGAAAGCAGTTAAGGCAGTGGCAGACATCAAAAAGTGTTCACATTAGGAAAATCCAAGAGATATTGTTTCTTGATACAAAAAAAAAGCAGTGCTGGATAGGTGATTTGGCTTTTTTTCACTCTATAGAAGACACTAAGAGCAGGCTTGATATTCCAGCCTGAAGTAATTAAATTCTGTAAGTTCCCCTGATGTCCAGTGTATTGTTTGAGGTCAGAGAAAATAATTAGGGGCTGACAGAGGCAAGGGGAAGAATGTTCATCTGTCAGGCTTTGATTGTTTAGCCTGACGCACCATATTGAGCACTGTCTTCATACAACATCCAAAAAGTACAGTAACATAAAGTACTCAGTTGATTAAAACCCAAAAGTGCTTTGAAGCTACTTGAAAATGCTTACTTCTTGAAATGTCAAGAGGGAATATGAAGGTAGTCTTTCAGCCAGCCAGCTCGACCCAATCACAGCCTCTTAAAACTGCTGCTTAAAGTTGCCCAATAAACTCTCAGTGCAGAATTTCACCTAGTTCTAACACTTTACGGTATTGTTTCAGATGCATGTTTTGCTTCAGAGCTCTCCAAAGTCTTTTCAGTGCAGAATTCACTGAAATGAATATTACATCCTATTTCTTGTAACCTGGATCTGGTTGGGCTAGCGTTAACTTCATTCATAGCAGTGAGAGCAGGTTGGTGGCGCTTGGTTGTTGTTACTCAGTTACATAGTGAGATGGACTCCAGGACATGGACTCCAGGACAAAAAAAAAAATTAAATAATGCCATCCTAGGGTACCTGGGACTGCAAAATAATTTTTTATCAGCTGAGTGACTGGCGTGGTACAGTGGTAGTTCTTTATAGACCAACTTCTTTGTCTACGCAATCTGTTCTATCTGTTGGTAATCCAGGACTCAGCATGTTCTAGTCCATTTCACTGTATGTGAGCTTGATAGTGATGCCTATAGCTGAATGCTTTCATACTGCAAGTAGCCAACAGCATCCACAAGGCAGTCAGTTTAAAACCTGTTCAGATATTTTTCTCTTCTGTGATAAATGTGGACGTACTGTGGAACTGTAGTGGGCACCACCATGTTTCTGTTATTGGTTCCCAAATTCAGCATTGATGATGTCTTTGAACTGCAAAGAAACTTGAGACTGTAATCTTTTGATACGAACGCAGCTATAATTATGTTCTGTTCTGCCCAATACCATTTATTAAAATTTTTTTCTTATGGCTGAGGTATGTGCTTTAATACTTCAAAAACCTCGGTGGTTTGATAACATGAAGAACATTATTTTTGATGGTAATGACTTGTTCTGTGTTGATTGTATGTCATTATCTCTACCAACTGTATTCTAGAGGTCTGTGTGTTTCAAATGAAAGAATCTGGAATACTGGCAGGTTTTATAGTGGTTTCTAGAAGATTAAATATTACAATCACTGATATTTTACCCTCTTCTGGAAGAATATTTTGATGCTGATTTCTTAAAGCTTATCTGACTGCTTGTATTTGTAGGACTGACTTTGAGGAGCTGATAAAATTAGTTGGTCTTCACCTTCTTTAACGTTCATTAAGAGTTAGCAACTAATAATTATCAGACATCCCAAAATGCTTCTGAAGTACTGAATTTATATTGATGTGGTGAATATTGGACAGATACTGACTAACACGTAAGGCTACTGTGTTAACTTTACTCTCAGGCATTTAGCTGCTAGAAATTCAACTGCGAGAATCTCTGCAAAGGTACCTATCTGCGTGTTTTAACTCCTGAAACTGGACTATGAGAATTATGTACCAGTGGTTACCTGACTCTTACTCCTTGATTGACTTGCTGTGAGATATACATTATTTTTGTTGCATTGCATCAAAGTTATATATGTGTTATTCCATTTGTTAGTGTTCTTATTTATTTCCCTTGCGAAGTGACTAGAAATAGAGATTTATATCAGCATTTTTATCAGAAACATGGCTGGAAGAGTAGCTTATTCAACAGAAATTACTTCCTACACACAGGAATGCTCCAAGCCCTTCAGTCTCTTATAGTGAGGCTTTTCATCTGCTTACTGCTTGCTGTGGTAATTTTGAGAACGGGCAAGTCTTATGTCCAGAAGTAATTGGGATGAATAAGAAGTGGTTACTAAAGCCATGACTATATCCTTGTTTTTTCTCATTGAGTCTGCCTTTGTAGAGTAAGCTATTCAGTGACATAAAATAAAGGGATATGAGTGATTAGGTTGTGCTAATGAAACACTTCAAATGTTATGTGAAAGTAGTGTCTTGAAAACTGTTAAGAGTACATGGTAATTTCAACATTGGTTTCCAACATAGCAAACACGGGATTGTGTAGTTGATGACTGATCAGTGCAGTCTGGACATCACACCAAGTGTCAGCTTTAGGGCAGTTTTGAACACGTTATATAACAGACTTGTAGCTGCTCATGTTTAAGAGCAGGGGTACAGGTATTAGTTAAGGCAGCAATTAAACTGAGTAGTTTGGTATGTGCCTTAATTTATAAATGGGTAAGGAAAATCAACCACTGTTATCTTGTATTGTTACACAGGTTAAATCTTTTTTTAATTATGATTAAAAGAAAATATATGCATTGCCTATGTCTGATATGCTGCCTTTGAAGTTTTGGTTATAATCTGGATGCAACAGTCATTTCATTAAGCTTATGTTGTATTATATTGATGTGGTCCTTCTCCAGCCTGACGAGCACGTTACTTACATGCATCACATTTGCAGCATCACAATAAATGTACAGAGCTGTCTCTAGAGTGTGTATAAGGCCGCAAACTAGTTGCAGTTCTTCCTTCAGTATGGGGTATGCGGAAACTGTCCCATTGCTGTCTTATGTTCTTACGTGTAAGTATCATTTTACTGGTATCAAAAGGAAGTGTACCAGTATTTTTCTGTTGTACCTAATCTGAAGACTGAAGGCCTGTAATGCATGGCTGTTTTTTTTATTTTTTTCTAATCATAATACAGAAAGCACACTGTACCAATTTTCCTCTTATACGCTGTATGCCCCGACAGCATCTCCTGCTACCTTACAACAAATCTGTAGATTAGATTAGATTTGCCATGGGAGTAGGTGCAACTTCTGAAAGTATAAAGCTGTTTGGAATGTTCTTCAGTTGATAACTAATCTAGTCACATGTGCAGTGTGACACCTGTGAAGTGAGTACCACCTGGTCTGGGTAGGATGCTCAGAGTGCTGTTGTAGGACAAAGCAAAGGGTTGATGGTGTGGGGGTACTCTGGGCGGTCTTCAGCCCAGAAGTCTCAACCTGCCCAGCAGCAAGTATCTGAGCAAGTATTTATCATCTTGCAGGGATAGATCTTCCCTGCAATTCTGTGCATGACTATGGACATATGCCTGAGTAGTCACCTAGGAAGTACTACTAGGCATATCTGCTACTTCAACCAGGAAAGGGAAGGACTGTCAGTATCTTTCCCTTTTGCTGTCTGCCCTGAATGTTGATCACAAAGAGCATAAAGCATTTGAGATGTGTCAGCAGATGTGATAAGAGGGGTGCTTACCCATGCCAAGCCATGGGGAGACTTGCCATTGAAGCTCAGTTTGGAAGTAACAGATTGCTTATGACTTCAAATACATTCTCAGTTTCTGCTGAGAAAGGAGAAAGAGACTGAGCTGGGTATACAGGATTTCCTGCCCACTACAAATGTCTGGCAGTACTGTATGTGATGTAAACAGGAAAAACTAAAACTAGCTGGTTTCAAAACTGATAGCCAGACCTAGGAACAAGAAGTAAAACAGAAGAAAGTGAACGTTTCATTGAAGCTGGATGTTCTGACAAAGAAAAAGTATGATACTGTCTTGGCTTGTTAGCCAAGCACCAGCTATTATCTTAATGAACTTCCAGGCCAACAGGCACCTGATAATAAACTCACTCTTTTCAGAGGCTGAATGTTAGTGAGAACAGTTGTTTCCACAGTAGTGTTACAGAAGCTTGTTGGTGTTGTCGTGTCCCTGAGACTTATTGCTCATAAAGAAAGTTGCATGCATGAAAATACTGTCAGCTGTCATTTCTCACCAGCAGGCACATCAGTTTCACTTGAAATATGCTTTATTCATTAAGAATTTCTTTTAAGCATTATACAAAAATGGTGCTTTGTTTTTGTCATATTTGTCTGTAATGCAAAGATAAATTTATCAACAGAGCTGAAACCTGAAGATAAAGTATCAGCTTTAGCCTGAGTGTGATCTAAGTGCTATGACAAAAACCTTGATGGGGTTTTCAGAGGCAGAAAGCCACTGCAAGTTCATCTTCATGAATGCATTTTGTAGCTTAAGAGGAGCTTAGGCTTTAAGCCCCAGTAACAGTTTACTTGGAAACAGCAACACACTGCATGTGGCTCTAGATCAATCTGATGTGAGTTATCCGTAACCCTCCTCCCCTATATCTCGCTGCTGGTAGTAATCCCATTAGATGATTGCATCTGGTGTCCTCGACAGATGGATTTAGTCAATTGAAAAAGAACTCCAGGTGGTTTAATCGACTGTGCGGTTGTTTTATAACCAGAGCCTCTTCTACCTACAACTTTGCCTTAAGTGGAGTGGATCTATGGCTCATTACTAGGCTCTATCAGTTATGCACATAACCATCTTGTTATTTAGTAAAAATTACAAGAATTGAGATGTTTTAAGTGTTTTCCTGTAGAACTGTCTTTAGAATGGGTCTGAGGAACTGGGGAGAATGGTTTTAGATTTGGTGAAGTGAATGAATTTTGCAGAATCACAATTACAATATGCATTACCTAAATGATAGCTGTGATTAGTCAATATCTTTCAGGGTGTGGGGATAGCTGGGGAAGATGCTCTTTTTTGTTTTTAATGTAGCTGTGTTATTGGAATCTGTTGTCTAGTTTTCCTTCAGAGAAGCCACCTCCTGTTGTATCCATCAGCTTACATTTAACAGTTGCTGGCAGAGAGGTATGGTTCAATCTGCAGCATTCACAACACAAAACCAGCAGAATCTAACCTGTACAGACACATCAGGCAAGGCCATAGCACTGTACTTGAGGCTGTGCTGTGCAAGATGGTGAGCTCCGACTGTTTGTACAGTTTGGGTGTGCCATAGCTTTATTATGTTTGGCTGAAGGGTGTTGGTAATGCAGTACACCTTGTGTTGATAGAATATAGGAAACATAGATGGTTTCTGAGGTGTGTACAGAAGGGTAGAAGACTGATGACCTACTTCAAGAGTTAGTTACAGTTAGCTATTCATATTTCACTGTTTTATTACTGGCTAAAATAAATACAGTATTTTCTGGCTATAATGAAAGGAACATAATAGAAAATATGGATTGTCAAAAGGATTACATAATGGAAACTCAGTTATTAAAGTTTTGCTGCATCCTCAGAGTGGTTAAAAGGAAAGCATAGGAAACTCTGAACTGGCCTGTTTCTTCTAAAATTGAGGTAGGATCAAAGGAAAAGCACTGAACTGGCCTTCTGCAGTAGCAGATAAATACAATCCTAATTCCTAGGAAAAGGAGAACATCAAAATTCTGTGTTGGGACAGTGCTGTAAGTACACCTTTTTAAAGATGCACTAAGATAAAGTACACAAAGTGTTAAGCTGCATTGTATTGCTCAGGTTTTGACTGTTAACCTTACTGCTGAAGCATGGAAAAAAACTACAACTGGAAAAGCAATATTTTGTAACATGTTGCCATGGCCATATCACCCAAGTCAAGGTCTGATTTAATTTTACTGACTGAAGGGTCATTAAATGTCTAATATAAAAACTGTGATTCTTTCCTTTCTGGAAAGGGCCTGCTTTTGCAAAATGCCGAGGGCATGATGACCAGCATTTACAAGCTGGTGTAAGTGGGGCTGATGATGAAGATGACATCTATTCCACATTTGTCATTTGGAAGTCATCTCATTGTCACCTGCAAAATAAAGGAAAACATGAGTAAGTTTAGGGGTCTTTTTTGTAGGCTTTGCTTGCGTGACAACTGTCAGAACAAATTGGTCACTGTGACAAAGCAGGACAGCAGACAGGCTCTTGTAGCCTCTCCTTGGTCTTGCTGTTTCTGTGCCTATGGATAGGGTGTGCTTCATGGCAGTCTGTGGACCTGTGCCCATCACAGCACTTCTCAGGTCCCCTACTACCTGCTTTGCAGTAGTTATGCCATTCCTTAACTTGTATGGCGAAGCCTTGATGCCCTAGGCATGCTATTCTAATCTGAACAAGTCCCTGTTTCGGTGAGATCAAGGTAAGGACTGTGTGTGTTCTCCTAGCTCATGATGATTGATGGATGAGTGAAACTGGGAAGGTGAGAGATGCTGGGCTTGGCCAGGAGGATGTCCAGACACTCTGAACTGAGTGGATGCTTCTCCACTCATAACCCATGCGAATGTCCCAGTTTCACTTCTGAAGAAGCGTGTCACCAAGTTGTCTTCTGTCCTGTGGTCCCATTTCGTTGGGCTTCCTGCACTAGGGATGTCTCTCAGCATCAAGACATCAGTGTGATGGGATAGAGCTGCTTTTGAAGAAGCCTAGGATAAGAATCAGGTTTGGTTTATGAACTGGTGCATTATACTGAGTTCAGGTTCTTTGTATTTGCTCTGTAGTGAGATCTTCAGAGCTTGTTTTTTCCTCAGATATCTTCAACTTTCAGTTGTTTCTGAAGTACCATCATGTTAATTGACCACTGAACCAATGGTTCTGCTTTAATCTGCACTACTTCTTAGCCTGGTTCTTGATGGTGAAAGATGCAAAGGAATAGTTGAGGCTGCCTGAAAAAAAAACTGTTGAAGGTAAATAACTTAGCTAATGTGTTTGTTAACCAAAGTGTTTCTCAGAAGCAATGAGATTAAGTGGATCAGCTGGTGTGCTGTGCCTAGTGGAAAGAAGCTTATTTAAATTAAGAGGAGCAGAGAATCAGTGCCTCAGTACTAAAGGAAGATGGACTCCACAGAAGACCTTGACTATCCTCAAATCATCTTTCAATACAGCAATGGATTTTTAGTCTCAAAGGTAAGAACCATAAATCAGTCTTGGATAGAAATCTTAAAAGCAAAGTGAAAGAAATACTCAAGGATCTCACTTTAGTTCCTTATTCGAAATCTCTGGAAAGAAAATTGTCTCATAGGAAACTATCCTATCTCCTCATCTACCTCTGAAGGAAATTTGAGAAGACAAAAGTTTGAGAACTTTGGCTCTTCAGGTTAGAGTTGATGTTTTTTGAGATCCCACTGACCTTTGGGAGATTGGATGAGCAGATCTTGTCTCTGCTGTAGGCTTTGAAAGAACGGTGCTTTATAGCTGAGAGCTTGTTGTCTGCCCCAAATGAGCAAGGCTCCTTACATCATGGGATTTCTTCTCATTTTTTTTGTGTTTGGAGTTTGAGAGTCAGAAGACTGCCTTGCATTTCTGCCTTTTCCCTTTTCATACCCAACAAATGGCAAGATTTTTCAGATTCTGAGAGTTTCCTTCCTTCTCACATGATTTTTTGATTTATATTTTGCAGAAGGCAATTTTTGGTAACTTCCATTTTTTGTCACTTTTTGACTTTAAAAGAATGGTCTTCTTTAAGGCTATTTTTTTCCAGACAGCATCTGATTAAGGCACAAGGTTAGAATGAATAGCTGTAATTTCCTTAACACTTGCTGATGTTGTATGCCTTTGTGTGTGCACATAGAAAAATCCTGTCTTCCAATGCAGTGGAGGTTTTTTCTTCATTTACAACTCTAGTTATTTTTCCTACTGTCTTCTGCTGCATCTCTAGCCAACATGGTAACAAAAGGAATACACTTTAGAGGTCTGCAAATGCTGCTGCATTCAAAGGCTCCAGAAGTGCAGAACACTTAGTGAAGAGAGGTAAAAATAGATGATGAGAGACCTTTCTGCTTGGTGAGAAATAAGATTGCCCAGCACTTTCAAAATTAAAAGCAATACGATGTTTTCGAGGAACAGTCTCAACTTTGGTTAAGCCATGCTGTTCTTACTCAGAGTAAGAGTAGCTTCCCTTGGACGTTATCAAATCACTGTAGATATCAGTAGTCCAATGAGCTGATGACGTTATGCAGTTTTTGGAGGCTTCTAGGTGGCCAATGAAATAGGTTGTTACTTACAAATTTGACTGTTTACAGCTAGAGAAGGATATTTTTCTTGTTATGTGTAGTTGTGTATGTCTGTCTGTCTGAAGGCTTCTCCCTGAAGCTTATACACACACTTTCATTCTTTTTGAAAAGACAGTGCACTTCTGTTGGCCTGAATAAGGCTGCCATCTCGGTTGAGACAAAACTTTCTTCCCTGGAGACTCTGCTGTAGCCATGGACTTCGGTACCTGAAAATAAATCAGTCATCTGTGTGGGCGCTGCTCAAAGAAGGTCCACAGAGTGAGATATCTGCCCCTTCCCAACAGCATATGTTAAATAATTAGTTGAAAGGAAAGGAAAAAAAAAAAGAAAAAAAAAATGAATGACCCCCTCCTCTGAATAAAACCAAACTAACAAAACAAAGCCAACAAACTCACAGTCTTACCTTTGCTTAAGTTCTCCAGGCCAAAATAAAATAAAAAAAAATTTTTAAAAAAACAACAAAAAAACAAACAAGTGAGACATGTAAACATGTTCTGAAACAAAGGTACAATCAAGAATATTCACAACCAAAGAATGGCCCTTAAGCATAAACTTTGTGAGCCTGAAAAATTGTTTGGTTTGGCTAGTAAATATAAAAATAAAACTGAAAAAGGTTGCACTATAAGGAATCTATGGGATTATCAGTGCTTAGAGAATATTCAGCTGGACTTGTGTATATGAAATAATATTTCTTTCAGGTAAAAAAAATATTTTATTATGTGTATATTTTCTCCAACAAAGCAACTTTGGAAATGCAGTTAACTTTGGTGCTTTCACCTGACCCCTTCCTCTCACTTCCAGGTTATGTTCACTGCCTGTGAGTTAGGAGTGTTTGATCTTCTGCTGGAGTCAGGACAACCTCTATCTTTAGATGTCATTGCTGCACGCTTGGGTACAAGCATCATGGGGATGGAAAGACTTCTGGATGCCTGTGTGGGATTGAAGCTTTTGGCAGTAGAGCTGAGACGAGACGGAGGTAAAAAAGGAAGATGAAGGGGAATCACAGAATAGTTGAGATTGACAGGGACCTCTGAGTTCATCTGGCCCGACTCCTCTCCAGCAGGGCCACCCAGAGCAGGGTGCGCAGATCAATGTCTAGGCAGCTATTGGAGATCTCCAAGGAGGAGATTCTACAGCCTCTGGGCAGCCTGTGCTTTTCTACCTGCACAACACAGAAGTGCTGTCTGGTGTTCAGAACTTCCTGTATTCTTGTTTGTTCCCACTGCCTCTTGTCCTGGCCCTGGGCACCACAAAAGACAGCCTGGCTCCATCTTCTTTGCACCCTTTAAAGGGTAGAAAGAAGAAATGAAATCTCGTACAGTTCTCATGATTTTGAAACTGAGGTCAAGTGTGAGGAAAGGTGATACCTAGTCTTAGGCTGGTTACCATAGCTTAAAGAAGAGATCATCTAAAAGAGAAGCAGCAAATGTCGGCGTGATCGGAGACATACAGCAACTCTCTCCTGGGGTTTTCTTTATCTCTAAACTTCTTTGTGCAAGAGCTTTAAATGACCTTGTACAAGATAACTATCACTACAGAGCTTGTCTCCAGAGAAGTCTGATGTGTGGGCATGATTTTAAGCTTTAAAACAAAATGTGAAGGCAACTTAAAAGCACATTTGTTTTCCTTGGAAGTTTTACTATTGTGTGAAGGAGCTCGTTAGGTTTCTGGTCTGAACTGAGAAGTGACATGAATTTCATCTTGCCCTGGAATCTTTGAGTCCATGTAATCAGAAAAGGCTGTGCCCATCAGACAGCTAGCGATGATGAACTTTGAAATGTTTGAGTCCTGCTGTGGTTGTATTTTCTTGCCCTGTTTCAGGATTACAGCAGGTACCCCATGAGTTCAGGGAACTTCTTCTGACAGCAGAGGCATGTAGGTAAATAATGAAACTTACAAAATGTTCCTCTTGCTGTTCCTGAGATGTTTGATTCTGAAGGAAATATAGGTAGGTAGTGTTTACCCACGCTGAATAGGATGGTGCAGGTTTCACCAGCCTTCACCAACCCCAGAATACTGTGCTACACGTTACCTTTGGAAGAACTGAGTGAAGAAGCAATATGTTTCTGTATTGGGGTGTACAGATACGTTCTGATAACGTATATATATCATGCTGTACAATAGGCTTGGCAAGATGATATCATACATGTTAGTAAATGTATTTATTTCACCTCTTAGCCTTCTACAGAAACACAGAAATTTCCAATATCTACCTTACGAAGTCAAGTCCCAAGTCTCAGTATCATATTATGATGTATTACTCCAATACCGTCTACTTGTGCTGGCACTACCTGGCTGATGCTGTGAGGTGAGGAAGAGGATGTGGGTGTTGCAGGCTACTTTGCTACATTTGTGTGTCTCTTCTCAGTGTCCCTAGGAGGGGCACAGAAGATGTTGGATGGTTCTGAAGGAAAAAAAAAAAAAAATCTACTGCATGTTTGTCCATTTCTCCTATCTCCTCCCTAAAGTAGATCTAGAAAGGACCTCTGTGTGTTTTGGTATTTGGGAAAACACTTGTTCATTGTGGTTGCTTTTATTTTTGGAGACATCAAAATAAATGATGAGTAGCGATGGCTATGGATACTTCTATTGCAAAGGCACAGTAGAGTAGCTCACTATAGGGCATGGAGTCTCGCTTATGCTAGTCTGCAACAAATGAACAAAGTGGTTATGCATGAAGGTGGTGATTGGTGATCGTCACGCCAGTTTTGCACCTCTGCCTCAGATGTAGCTCCATGAAGGACAAGACTTTCTTGTTGAAATATTTCACCATCTTTTGGGAGTGGCAGGCAGGGATGTCATTACATCCATGGCACAGAGACATATAGACTGTCTACTAACCTCAGGTCCTGTGTGTGTTTGGAGTAAAAAAGGAATCCATGCTAATATGCTTTTTTTTTTTTTTTTGGTTGCTATTTTAGAGAAGGAAGAAATCAATATGAAAGAGCTTTTGGCATTTCATCTGAAGACCTCTTTGGAGCCATGTACAGGTATTAGTATATTAATATAAATATATTTCTTGTGGTAGGCAAAATTTGTTTTTGTCTGACTGAATTTTGTTTTTATGACTGAATTTTAATACTGTGATGTGAGAATTCAGTTCATTAGAAAAATCATGCAGAGTTTTCCCTTCTCAGCAATATCCATTACTGGAACACTTAGATATTTTGAATAGGAATGTATAATTTCCTGTTATGAAAAACAAATCTCAGGTCTCCCTTAAGTCCAAGAACTAGCAGTAATACACTCATTGACTTTGCTATATTTAATTCCCAATTCAAGTGCACCAGTGCATACCTATTCCTTTTTGCTGTGATAAGTCTCAAGCTAGGTTTATGTGCAAAGAGAAGATATTGGTTGCAAACAAAATGAGATATCAATGCGTAAGCTAAATTTCTTAGTAAGAATTGTATGATAAAGAGTCACTAAGAGTACCATGAGTTACATTTCTGAGTTACGTTTCTGTATGCTGTGTCTGTATTACTAGATCAGAAGAAGAAATGCTGAAGTTCTTGGCTGGCCAGAACTCAATCTGGAGTATATGTGGCAGAGATGTACTTACTGCATTTGACCTTTCTCCTTTCACACAGATTTATGACCTGGGAGGTGAGCATCAGTAGATCTTTTTCAAAAAGCCTCTGAATTATTTTGCCAAGCTTGAGGGGGGGAAATAAAAATAATAATAATACAGAAGAGCATCTCCTATTTTATATGATGGGCAAAGCAATGGAAAGAAGGGTATTATCTCAATCTTGTCAGCAACAAAAGGAGCGTTTTCTCATTCTGAATGAGTTTTTAAAAAGTTTAGATTGGTATGAGTATTTGGAAGCTAAATTTTTTGTCTGTGGATTCTTATATGTGCACATAGTGACTCATCTCATTGTTTACATGTCAGATTTGCTATTTTCTATTTCCTTGCTTGATATGTTCTTCCACTGCCTGATTCTTTCCCCTACAGTCAGTGCCATCATATTGAGACTGCCTGCACTCTCTTCCCCCATTGCTGCTGAGCACTGCTGAGATTTATGGAACCTGCTAGGCTCCTTACTGCTCCATCCCTCATTTAGCAGCTCTGTTTTTCACTTCCTACCTTTTATGACCCACCTGAGGCTGAGGTGCTGTGTAAGGGCTGTAAGAGCTGGATCTGACCCTGCAGGCCGGAGCAGTCACTCCTGTCCTTCCTCTTCTTTTTCTATGTCACTTGAGAACGAATGTACACCATCAGGTTCCATAGAGCTGGATGCATCACTGCTGACATTGCTTTACTGTAGGTGTGCAGAACAAGGTGGTTTTGTTTCAGCGCTGATCTACTTTTCTCTCCGCAAAGGTGGTGGAGGAGCTTTGGCCCAAGAATGTGTTTTCTTGTATCCAAATTGCACAGTCACAATTTATGACCTGCCCAAAGTTGTACAAGTGGCCAAAGAGCGATTGGTTCCCCCGGAGGAGCGACGGATTGCCTTCCATGAAGGTAGGTGCAGACATCTCTGTGGGAAGGTGCTAGCAGTGGTGGGGCAATGTAGGCCTGCGGGGTTGTGGTGGGCAGGGATTGCCTATGGCTGGTTGCTCACTGGGGTGACCAAAAGTGCCCTTGTACAACATTGCCTTGAGTTAGTCACTTATCTAGACAACGTGAAAGTATTGACCTGCCCAAAGTTGGTGTGCAGAGCAGCTTAAATATCTTTGAGCACTCCCAAAAACAAATCTGTCAGGGTTGTATTGTCACAGCTTCTTAACAACTGCCATGCTGTGTTGCAAGCTTACTAACATTCCCTTGTCTCCTAGCAGATGCATGACATGCCAAACCTGCTCTGAGCAAGGGGTTTTCCCTCCCTGGTTGTGATTGCTAGACTTCTGTCATATTTCAGGCTTTGAATGTGGATGAGCTAACCCATGTTCCTCTTATCCAGTCCTCAGATAGTCTTTGCACTATCTGTGATGAAAATGTGCTTAGGGACATCTTGTATTTAATGTCTTCAGAAATCTTTATTGGAAGGACTTAGTATTGCTTAAAGTTCTGAGAAAGGAAAGAAGCTTCTGAGGAAGGGAAGAAATATGTTAAAGCAAAGATGAAGAAACTGGGGAAAGGCTACGTGTATAGTGATGTGAAGAACTAGGAGTGCTGATGAGAAAGTAAGATGTGAATAGAAAAATGTGAATGCAGTACACCAGATGCTGAATAAAAGGCATGATCCTGTAACTAGTGTTAGAAGGTGCAAATGTGTGTTTTCTCCTGATGGATTTATGGTGTAGTTCCATTTTACTGGGTTAGTCTGTTGAAGCCTGATGTGGGTCATGGACCTGGCAAGCCCAGAGTTCTTAGATCTGAAAAGAACAAAAGATACTTGCTGAACCTCCTCTTTTTTTTCAGGAGTTTTGTGTGGAACATGTGTTTTTCTTTACAGGAGATTTTTTTAAAGATTCAATCCCTGAAGCTGACCTCTACATTTTATCAAAGATACTGCATGATTGGGATGATGAGAAATGCGGGCAGCTGCTGGCAGAAGTTTATAAGGCCTGCAGACCTGGTAGGTGTGAGCTTTGGGGAAAAGAAAGGAAGACTCCCACCCATTAGTTATATGGATCACACAGCTTCAGCAGCGGGGTAGCCAAGAAGTGGCATGCTCCAATGCCTTTGCTCCCTTCTTGTCCTCTGTGATGGAGAAACAGGACTTAACTGAGAGGCTGCTGCTTCTGCAAAGAAAAGGATAGGATCTGGTCTAACAACCCAGCTGAAAAATATCCCATCTTCACAGAGTTTTCATAACACTCTTTGTTCAACCAGGTGGTGGAGTGCTGCTGGTTGAATCACTCCTGAGTGGAGACAGAAGCGGACCTGTGGAAACCCAGCTGTATTCACTGAACATGTTGGTGCAGACAGAAGGAAAGGAGCGAACAGCAGCTGAGTACAGCGAGCTCCTTGGGGCAGCTGGCTTTAAGGACGTCCGAGTCAGGAGAACTGGAAAACTCTATGATGCTGTTCTGGGGAGGAAATGATAGTGTCTTTATTCTGTAATACTAAGTACACATGGAGAAATGTGATATTCTTTTCCTAGAAGGCTATTATAGATGTAGCTTTTATTGAAGGCAGTCAACTTTTCTGTTAGCTGATACAATGTCAGGAGAATCATTAATAATACACTTTTGGTGAGGATAGGTGGTGAATTCAGCAGCCTGACTAGGGCTTGCCTTTTGATCTGAATAGCAGAGAGAGAAATCAACACCTGTTCCACAATAAATTACCCACGAAAGAAATGTGCAGTGTTGCTGCTAACCACTTTACATATATTTCTTCTTCTTTTTTATTTTTATTTTAAGCTTAACAGAGTACCTGACAAAAGCAAAGCTCAATTTTCATTTGTGGATTCCTGCAAAATAAAACTGACCAGTGTACTGAGGTCTGTTATATGCTTTTTTTATTCCTTGGAACCAAAGTAGTATAAGACAATTATATATATCCTTGTGGTTTACCTTGTCTGAGTTTCAAGAGAAAATCTCTGAGCTTTGGTGATTTTTAGCATGTAGAATGATATATTTTTACATTTCTTCTAGATTTGTGTTGAATTTGACAGTGAGAATTTTGTAGTCTAGCTTGATGATTAGCTGAAACCTGGTGATGTTACTGAGGGAGTGGTAAGGTACTGAAGCAGGTTGCCTGTAGAGGTTGTGTTTGCTCTGGTCCTAGAGGTATTCAAGGCTAGACTGGATGCTTCTCTATTTCTGTAATTTTTTTTATTTATTTTCTTACTTCCTGAACAATAACCACATCATCAGATTCCCTGAATGTTATTGCCATTATTTTTAACATCTTACTCACCCATTTCTTTCAGCGTGGTTTTCAACAGTCCATTGTATTGTTTGATTTTGTGAGTAGCCCTGGGCAATCTGATCTAGTACTTGAGATAGCAGCTGGCAGCTCTGCCTGTGGCAGGGGTGGGTGGGAGTGGTACAGGAGCTTTATGATTCTTGGGTTCCTTCCAACCCAAGCCATTCTACGCAGCTGGGAGAGAGAGTGGTGTAGCCTTAGCGTTTAGCTGCATACTTGGTAAGTCTTCAAGAATTAGCAAGAGACATTCAGTAAAAGCATTTGGTCAAGCACTATCTGCAATAATCCACCCAATTTTTGGAAGCAGAAATACAGATTGCTGGAGTAAAAATCATTTGGAATAGGCAGGTCATTCTGTTGATGCAACGTGAGCACTTGCTTGTTGCATATTTAACTGGAGACTTCTTAGTTGCCCCCTGCAGAGCCCTCACTCCCTTGGTTGTAGGTAGAGTGTGGAGAGGTTTCCCTCAGTGGAGAAAAGCTGGCCTGGTACGTACAAAACCAAATCACAAGGTTATAATGGGGTCCTTCTCATTTTTAGGAAAACAAAACAAAAACAACAGGGCACAGTTCATGAACTCCTATGTCAGAAGTGTATTTATCCCAAATAGGATCTTGCCCTGTAGATACATGCAGGTTTCTGGAGGAGGTGGAATTGAGAGGCTGTGTGGAGAGTTCCCTCACAAGCTGCATTCCCCACCTGAGAGATCTGCAGCAGGAAGGTGACTTTGCCAGGAGCTGCCGCCTGTGAGTAATTTGTTCTGAGTGCTCGCTGGCTAGACAGAGCGAGGTGCTGTGCCCTGCAGCAAGCAGGCACACATGCAAAGTAATCAAACGAGGCTGACTGAGCAGCCAGTGGGGCTGTGGGGCTGACTCAGGTCTTTGCTGATATCCCCATCCCCACCTGAAAAGTAAAACAGTTCAGAGAGATGTTTTTGCTTATTGGACCACTTTGGTAAGGGTGGCAGTTTCGTGCTACAAAGTAGTCTGAAGGATATGGTGGTATCTGTGAATTAATTGCCTTTGTAAGTGAATGAATTAAGTGGCTAAGAATGAACCATCTACAGTTTTTACCAAGGAGAAGTTAATGTACTCTTGAACGAGGAGCACAGCAAAAATGGCCAATGATGTATGCTGAGTCAGAAAGTCCTGCGTATGCTTTCCTTCGTATGTTTTTTCCCCAGTAAAGTTGCCTGTTCACATGCTCCTTGTTGCTCACGTGGCCGCACTGTTACCAGCATCATAGGTAGATAAGACAATCATGGTTGATGTGCTGCTGCATATAAAGTGGTGCATCCTACTTTGGTGAATTAGAATTCCTTATGGCTGATGTCAATGGTAATTCTGCCTTTCACCCGAGGGGGGGGAAAAAAAAAGAAGCAAGGACAGGCTGTTTCCCAAAACAAATTCTGTAGACAGAGTACTTCTGTAATGAGTTTATTCAGAAGTTCTACATATCAGGAAATTACTGCTTAGAAGCTTGGAGGCAACATAAATAGGCAAGATGCACACCTGATTCTAAAGTGTTTTTTAGCTCTATCAAGGTTTAAGCATGCTGGGTCTTTGCAGAACAGAGCTGACTTATTATTACCTTGAATGCACATGAGAATGAGTATTGATAATGACAATAGCAGTATCCTGAAGTTGTTAAATGAAAATCTATATTCATCTTTAGACATGTGGAGCTTTAAAACTACAAAGTAATGCAATTACAGGACTCGCTGTTTCCTTTGTGCTATTTCTACTCAGTTTTGATTTTCCTACTCCATTTCTGACCCCCTGTCCTTTCCACTGTGATTTGTTCACCTTCCTCTTCTTTCCAAGTCTCTCTTCTCTTCTGTGTGCTTTTGTCCTTTGTTCATCTACTCTCTCCTTCCAGATTCAAGAATAGAGAGTTTCCTTATTCACATTGAACAAATCAGTGCAGAGAAGGGCCCAGCTTAAGACCTGCCTTGACCAAAGCTATGGCTGATCTCATTAGAGCCTCTTCCCTTCCTTTTATTTTTTTTCTCCTTTTAGTGACAGACTGTGAAGACAACCTTCTCTCCACATGAGGAACACATGCTCAGAAGGATCAAGTTGCTTTCTTTGCTCATGAGGAGGTTGCTTTGTGAGGAGCAGCCACTCTAGGCAGGGGTCCTGCTCACCTTGATGGCAGATACCGAAGAGAACTTTTCTTTGCAGGGATTTTTATGTATAGCAACTACTGTGCTGTATGCAGGCAAATGAAAACCCTGTTCTCTATTGCTTCCATGCTCCAGTAGGCATTTCTAACAGCACCTTGTCATATTTAGGTCTTGCAGCTGTTTTTTGCTTGTTGTTGGGTATTGTAATGTTGACAAAGATCATACAGGAACAAAGTGATAAGGTGGAGTTTTCCAAGCAGCAGCCTTTTGTGCTTTGGTTGATGCATACATAACACAAGCAGTTTCCAAATTCAAGGCTCTTTCATAGTACTACATCAGGAGATTTTCTGTTTGATGTGGATGGCTCTTATCAACACGGTTCTTTCCTCCTCTCATGGGGTTTCTAGCCATGTAGGCTGAGATGAATTTTCTAGCTCCCAATATGACTTGGGAGTAAAGAATGAAACCTGGCCAAAACTGGGGTGAATCAGCAAGAGCAGAACAAGGAGGGTCTTGAATGCATCAGGCAGGAAATGCAATTCCCAGGCTGAGATGGCTATGGCCAGTAGGGGTGGGCAAATGTTCCTGTCCTATGGTCACTCTGGTGGGACAGAAATGCCCCACAGGGTCTCCCTCCTCCTGAGTAGGGCTGCTGCTCTGCTGGTTGGTGTTTAGACATGAGATGACAGTGAAAGGATAATCATACGATCAAAATTAAGAGATATGTGTATAGCAATGTTAAACGTAACATTTTTGTTGTTTTAATTTCTTTTTGTCTGCTGAAGTAGTCTTTCCTTTTTCTGTGGCAATAATTCAACTTGTAAGGTTTCACTAAGAGCAAATGAGGTGGTTTCCTGACTGCATCAGGGAGGTGTTACTTCATCCATAACAGTGGTGCCTAGTGGTTCATTGTATGGAGCTTACATAGCAAGCTTTTGTAGCAGAGGAGCTGCAGGGGTGGCTTCTGTGAGCAGAGCCCAGCACTGCCCCATGTCAAAGCAGAGCAGCTGCAAACGGACCTACTGCTGCCAGAGCTGCACTGTGTGCGATGTCGGGTGTGCTCTGAGAGAGTGGATTTAAGGAAGGGAACACAACTGTGCTACAGCAGCTGGGGGAGAGGGAGGAGAAGTGGGAGAGAAGCAGCCCTGCGGGCACAGAGGCCAATGAGAATGGAAACTAGTGAGCCATCTCCCTGCCCTTATCTCAATACATGGTCTTTGTATATCATATTTTCTCCTCGTTTGAGAAGGACAAAAAAGAGAGCAGTGTGGTGGAGCTCAGCTGCCCATCGGTGTTAAATTACTGCACTTCTGTTAACTTTGCAAGGTTCTGCTTCTGATCTACACTGGTTGGTATCAGTATGTCTTGAGAAACTGCAGTGTGAAAAAAGCTTGATAGATGTCTCTTGCTGCCTATTATCCCACACCTAAATTCCACATCACAACAAAGGCCCTGAAAGCATCAAGTTGACTGAAGACAGATGCCCCTGGTTTGTAAAGATAGGTAGCCAAGGGTCTTTGGGAAGCATGGCAGGGTCTGTCCACCAGGCGTCCTGGGCTTCTCATGCTGCTAGAAGCACGTGTGTGTTTTTCTCTACAGATAATGTACATTTACGCACTCTAATTTCACCCTTCAAGAAACACCTTATTGTAAATCATCCACGTTTGGAACAATCTCTCAGAGATTATCAATGATGTGGTAAAAGCTTCCATACAGCAATATGAAATGGTACAAGTTTTAGGAGAGCACCAAGGTGAATTATTGCTATGTGTTAAAGGCCTTATCCTCATGATTGTCAAACTTTATCCAAAAGGGAAGATGCTGACTGGAACATTATCTCTTTCATGTCACATGCTGATATGCAGATTTTATTATTTCCAAGAAAAAGAGGCTGATCCATTAAGGATGAAATATTCTCTGTGATAACCTGTAAATGGGAAGATGGTGTGCCATAAAGCATACCTTAACAGCATTGTGGCTGAGAAAACCATAGCATTCGTTCTCTAGTGGGTGTTTTAAAATAACAATTGATAAAATAATGCTCTTGAGAAGACAGGAAATACCAGCTGGTGGGAACAGCTGGTTCCCCAGCTATAAGCATATATAATAAGTAAAACACTATGTAAGCCAGTTTGTTAGAGAAGTTCGTTTGTTATTATAGAGCAAATTGATTAGTTTTAAAAATGTGTGATCGGTGTTTCTGTTCTAGAAAAAATTCTGCAGCTACCTGTGCCTCTGAAGAATGACTCTGATGCAAAAGTTACATTCATTGTCGTGAAAAATGGATGTATTTAATGTAATGTATCTCATGATTTAATGATACGGTCACACTGAAGTGAAAACCACGCTTTACAAAAGGTTTGGTGTTCTGCACACCTCTGTGTTGCATTCCCCTCCCCTGACCTGGCATTTGAAAAGCTGGAG